AGGAGAGAAGGGCGGCGGCTGTTAGGTGAGGGTGGGGTAGGCTTCCCTGAAGAGGTGGGTTTTCAGGGAGCGCCTGAAGGTGAGGAGGGAAGGTGACAGTCTGATGGATTGGGGTAGTGAGTTCCAGAGGATGGGGGAGGACCTGGAGAAGTCTTGCAGTCATGCATGGGAGGAGGAGACCAGGGAGCAAGATAGAAGGAGGTCTTGTGAAGAGCGAAGGGTACGGGTAGGGTGGTACCTGGGAATCAGGTCGGTGAGGTAGTTAGGGGCAGTGTTGTGAATGGCCTTATAGGTCAGAGTGAGCAGTTTGAATTTAATGCATTGGGCAATGGGGAGCCAGTGGAGGGAGAGGCAGAGGGGGGTGGCAGAGGTGGAGCGGCTGGTGAGGTGGATGAGTCTGGCCGCTGAGTTCAGGATGGTCTGAAGCGGGGAGAGTTTGCACTGGGGTAGGCCGGTGAGGAGGGAGTTGCAGTAGTCAAGGCGTGAGATAATCAGGGAGTGTACGAGTAGTTTAGTGGTGTCTGGGGTAAGGAAGGAGCGTATCTTGGCGATGTTTCGGAGGTGGAGCCTGCATGTGATTGTAAGTGATTTGACATGAGGTTGAAAGGAAAGGTTTGAGTCCAGAATGACGCCAAGGACCTTGGCTTGCGGGCGGGATTGATGGTGGTGTTGTTGGTAGTGATGGAAAGGATGGGGGGGGGGGGGGGGCGCGGGAAGGGGGAAAGGCCGAGAAGCTCGGTTTTGGAGAGGTTGAGCTTGAGGAAATGGAGCGACATCCAGTCAGAGATGTCTTTTAGGAGGTGAGTGATGCGGGCAAAGAATATGGGGGTGAGGTGAGGGGTGGATAGGTAGATTTGACTATCATCAGCGTAGAGGTGGTAATTGAAGCCGTGGGAGTGTATGAGTTTGCCAAGGGAGGAGGTGTAGATGGAGAAGAGAAGGGGTCCAAGGACAGAGCCCTGGGGGACCCCAACAGAGAGGGGGAGGGAAGGGAGGTGGCACCGTTGTAGGAAACGCTGTAGGAGCGTTGGGATAGATAGGACATATATAGGATATATATATACACATACACATTTTTAGTTAATTTAAGTAATATAATTTATTTTATGGAATTGTTATTTTTATTATATAATTGTACAGTTGTAATGATGCCAAGATCCCATTTGTTTGTACGAGTGACAATATAGTCAGAGAATAGAAGGTCCACAACTTGCAGTCAACAATATGGAACTAATAAGTCTAGCGTATATATCACACTCATTGCTGGTAAACATATAGCGGCAAATGACCCCATAAAGATGGCCGCGTACATGTGGTCTACGGGAAAATGGCGCCGGGATGGCCTATATAAAAGAGCACGGCACAGTGGCGTCTAATTGATTCCCCCTGATGAAGCCACATGACCCTGTGGCGTAACGTGTAAGGGAGGGGCTCTGACGTCACGACGCTGATGTGGATAGCGGCAAGTACAAACTGAGGATCTGGGCACAGTTTAATTGTCTGTAACAGCACTTTAATGTGTGAGTGCGCAATTTTTTCTTTAATAAAAGCACCTGATTTTTAAAAGGATAAGGCACTATTGTTACTTCCTTTTCTATGATACCCCATAATACCGAGAGGTGGAAGCAGCACACAGTTTTGCCTCATCCATCCACCAAGGCTCAGTGTGGATAGAAAGGAGTGAGGGAGACCCCTGGTGGGAGAAAGTTGGTAGCACAAGCCTATCCATTCGAATGTGGAAATAAGCACCCAGCATGGAAAATACCACTTAGTCCTGATGGGACAAAAGCGTTATTAGCCACTTAGCTTGGCTAATTGGTAAGGTGAGCGTACACCTATTCTTTAGCACTGGGAGTGTTGCACGGCACATTAATTGGCACTGGCAAGATTTGAAGCACAAAGTGGACTTTATAATAATTTATGATTGTATATACTTTTATATTTATATGTTTTGTTGCACAGAATACTGCACTGTTTGAAGCACATGGTTTTTTCACGTTTATATTATTTTGAGTTATATGTTTATGATTGATTTAATATATATTGTGAAGCGCGACACATTTAGATATAATTTTGACTTCATAGGTTCTCACCGTTGATTTTTAAGTGTTTGATTCATGTGCAAATGGTGAGAACTTATGGAGGATTGAAAAATTTACAGTATGAATATCCTATGTGACTGTGAAAAGGGACCTTTTGATGCTGGGTTCCAGTTTATAATCATAGCTTCGCAGGGGGAAAGTAATATTCTGGCAATTGGACATTTTACCTAATTTTGTATCATTTGCATCTTGAATTTTGCGTGTTCTATACATATTTGGGGTGACTGTGATCATTGGTTTACCCTGGGTGTGGATTTTATTATGCAGCGTCTTGGGAAAATGCCTGGCGCTCTAGACAAGCGCTGTCAATCATAACTAATTAATTAATTGTCTCCTTGGTATATGTGTGGCCAGACAAAGGTATGGCAAAGGGGAACTGGGCCACCTAGGAAGACAGGATAAAGTGCATTATGCTTTTTACACATGGGGAGCAGGAGCTAGAAAAGAACAGTTCAACTTTTTTTCCAAAGTCTTTAGACCAGATATGTGATGCATTGAGTCCTCTTCTCTTTTTTCCATCCATCCTGGTGGTTAGTCCTCAATTAGGCAGATGTCTCCCATACATATTCATATGAGCAGTCTGGACTTTGGCATTTTTGTCTACTGCTCATTCCCTACATAGAATATGCGATGTCATCTGAGCGCCCCTATCTTTTTTTTTCAATTATTCAGAGAGTGTCCCCAACAGTATGATGGCAGCGCAGTTCTCTGCATTATTACACTTTGAGTTCAGGTTGTCATTGTGACGCCCCTCGGGGGCAGGTCCATGACTTTCTGCATTCACAGAATCACCTCAGTCTTTCAGATTTAGTGATAGCGGGTACCCTTAAACCTGGAAGACTGAGCACAGAAAAAGATTTTTTTGCAGGGGACAAGTCCAGATTGAAGGGGAGCTGTTTTTGAAAGTTTAAAACCAACTGGGGGACCATTTAAAAAAAACATAACGCCCCAAATTGGGCTTTAAGTTTATTCAGGACCCATGAGTTGTTAAATACATGTTCTAAATTTTACTGAGCAACTAACACCTAGCTTATTTGGTGGCTCTCTACACAGCAAAAGAGAGCGATGGATACAGTGCATCCAGAAAGTATTCACAGCCCTTAACTTTTGCCACATTTTGTTATGTTATAGCCTTATTCCAAAATGGTTAAAATTATTTTTTTTCCTCAACAATCTACACTCAATACCCCATAATGACAACGGGAAAAGAAGTTCATTTTGAAATCTTTGCAATTTTTTAAAAAACAAAAAATGAAAAAAAAAAAAACCATGTACATAAGTATTCCCCGCCTTTGCTCAATAATTTGTTTAAGCCCCTTTAGCACCAATTCCAGCCTCAAGTCGTTTGGAGTATGTTGCTACAAGCTTGGCACATCTATTTTTGGGCAATTTCTCCCATTCTTCTTTGCACTACCTCTCATCTCCATCAGGTTGGATGGGGAGCGTCGGTGCACAGCCATTTTCAGATCTCTCCAGATATGTTCAATCTGGTTCAAGTCTGGGCTCTGGCTGGGCCACTGCAGGACATTTACAGAGTTGGCCCGTTGCCACTTCTTTGTTATGTGGGCTGTGTGCTTAGGGTCATTGAAAGATGAACCGTCGCCCCAGTCTAAGGTCCAGAGCGCTCTGGAACAGGTTTTCATCAAGGATGTCTCTATACATTGCTGTATTCATATTTTCTTCGATCCTGACTAGTCTACCAGTTTCTGCCACTGAAAAACATCCCCCCAGCATGATGCTGCCACCACCAAGATTCACTGTATGGATGGTATTGGCCAGGTGGTGAGCGGTGCCTGGTTTCCTCCAGACATGAGGCTTGGCATTCAGGCCAAAGACTTCAATCTTTGTTTCATCAGACCAGAGAGTTTTGTTTCTCATGGTCTGAGAGTCCCTCAGGTGCCTTTTGAAAAACTCCAGGCGGGCTGCCTTTTGTCTTTAACTGAGGAGTGGCTTCTGTCTGGCCTCTCTACCATACAGGCCTGATTGGTGGAGTGCTGCAGAGATGGTTTTTCTTCTGGCAGGTTCTCCTCTTGCCACAGAGAAACGCTGGAGCTCTTTCAGAGTGACTATCAGGTGCTTGGTTACCTCCTTGGCTAAGGCACTTCTCCCTTGATTGCTCATTTTGCCCGAGCTCTAGGAAGATGACTGGTGGTTCCAAACTTCTTCCATTTACGGATGATGGAGGCCACTGTGCTCATTGGGACCTTCAATGTTCCAGAAATTTTTCTGCACCCTTCCCTGGATCTGTGCCTTGATACAATTCCTTGGACTTCATGGCTTGGTTTGTGCTCTGACATGCACTGTTACCTGTGGGACCTTATATAGACAGGTTTATGCCTTTCCTAATCTTGTCCAATAAACTGAATTTCCCACAGGTGGACTCCAATAAAGTTGTGGAAACATCTCAAGGATGATCAGTGGGAACAGGATGCAGCAGAGCTCACTTTTGAGTGTCATGGCAAAGGCTGAGAATACTTATGTACATGTGTTTTTTTTTAATTTTTAATAAATTGCAAAGATTTCAAAACAAACTTTTTTCATGTTGTCATTATGGGGTATTGTTTGTAGAATGTTGAGGAAAAAAATGAATTTAATCAATTTTGGAATAAGGCTGTAACATAACAAAATGTGGCAAAAGTTAAGCGCTGTGAATACTTTCTGGATGCACTGTAGATAGATGGCCACCTCCATATGGTTACACTGAAGGAATATATGAAGGCAATCATAATTTTGCATCACTATGGGAATTGCCTGTGAGATAGATTAGAATGATGGGGATGGGGGAGCCACTTATTGATTAGATAGATAGAGAGATAGATGTTACAATAGTTTCTTCCTACTTTATGGATACATGGTGGACAGTTTAAACCCCCAGGGACCTGTGTGCTTGTTCTACAGATGCCTACCCCAGTACAGAAGTGGTTTATGCTTGGACGAATGGCTCTGACAAATCAGTTGCCGTAGCCCCGGATGGCTCTAGACTCAACCAATATGACCTGCTTGGCCTGGTGTTAGGAACTGAGACCATCCGATCGAGTACAGGTAAGCTTTATTATATGTGAAGATGACAGACAGCAATGGTGAGAATTATTGAATGAAATGGTAAAACTATTAGTATAGGATGGGTACCTTCTTATGGTCTGGAGAGCTCTTTGGCTGTTTCTCTCCCTTTACGTCTCCCCTATCCTACCTGTACTCTCATAACCTTATCCCCTTCACATGTACTTCCATGCATCCTCTACCCCATTTTATGTATTTCCAATAAACCTCCTCCTCCCACCTGTACTAATTGAACCTAACAGACATTCCCCAACTTGTATTCTCACGAATGTACCTACCTCCACTCCTATGACCCGTTGTCTCATCACCCACACTCTCGTGAACCACCCTCACTCTTTGTCAGGAAAGGGCTCACTGCTGGTGGTGCTGTGGCTCACCTGCTCTATGGGCTGCAGTACTGGGACTTACCAGCAGGTGCCTTTCAGCAGCCAGGATCTCACCTCCTGCAATTAAGCCATCACCTGAGGCTGATTGCAGGAGGTGTACTTAAACAGTAACCAGGCCTGTAATCAGTGCCTTGGTGTTTGTTTCCCATGAGCCTTTGTTGTCCTGTATCTGTATCCTGTCATCTACCTGCCTGATTCTCCTGCTTGATTCTGACTACGATTGAACTCTGCCTGCACCGACCCAGCTCTCCTTTCGACTATCCATTTGCCTACTCCTCTGTACCTGATCCGCCCAATTGATCCTGACCGGGCCTGCCTGACTATTCTACCTCTCCAGCCCTGACTACGCTTTTATTTCTGAACATATATATATATATTAGTTGAAGGTTTGGTTTTTGTTTGCACTGTGCGTTTTTGTATACTGGTGTAGCTAACAATAAATTATATTGTCCACATCACTCCTGAAGCCTGATATTCCCAGTGGTCATATCCGGTCTCTGGTCATATCCGGATTACTGACACTCTTACTCCAATGAACCCCTCTATACTCCCATCATCTCCCTTCACCTGTACCATGAATCACCCCATTCACCTAGGAATACCTCATCACCCATACTCCAGTGATCCCCCCTCCCTCATCCATACTCCTATGAACACCCCTTTTCAGTATGTCCATGAACACCTCCATACTCCCATGAATCTATCACCCCTTCCCTAACTTTTATTCCTGTAACACCCTCCTACCACCCACAAGCTGTCCAGGAGACAAACCTGAGTGAGTACACCTACAGCCCCTTGGCAGATAGGGGAAGGAGCATTCTGGTGGGAAACCAGATTAGCCCCCTTCTAGTGTCTGTACACCCACAAAAGAGAACAGGGTCCTGATCCCCTGCTCAGGAATGGAAGGAATACCCACAGACTGCTGGGTGGAAGAGGAGTTCATTTGGGGTCTGGGATACTACAAGTGGAACTGGTGGCTAGCACTCCAACAGTGACTTTGAGAAGCTGTAAAGGAGAAGTATACATAGTCCAGGAAGTTGTCCTCAAGAGTCCGTTCCATTCGCATCCTATACACCCCTATACCCCATCCAAGTTCAATTCCCTAAATAAAGCAAACAAACAAAAAAAACAACATTCAATGTCTGATTCCCTGTCTATGGATGCATGATGTGAGAAAATGTTAAAGGACTGGCAGTGCAGGACTATAGAGCAACCCAAACTACATATTCAACAGCAACCCTTAAGAGGGTAGTGCTACATTCCCATTCCTAGCAAAGGGATTTTTTTAAAGCCCATCCCAAACCCATTATAACCACTCGCATATGGTCATGTCAAAACTGGGATTTAAACCTGCATATGATCCGTTTCGGGTGGTGTTGAAGTTTACATGAGTTATTCCTTACAATAATTAGTTATTTTTCCCTGGAATAGGTCAAGAAGCCAAACCTCTTCTTTCAATTGGTTGACAGAAAACTGCATAAGCCTGACATACATTCTACCGCTAACCCGCTTCATCCAAATATTTTAGTAGGAGTAACTCTTGAAACTCTATCCATAGACAGGGGCATTGCTAACTTGTGGCACTCGGCACTTGTCCCAGGTGTTCTACTGAGTGCCCCGGATCTTTTGGAGATGATACATTCCATGAGTACATATGTTAGGACACTGGTCGTCTGAACTGAGAACCATTTGGTGATCCATTTGGACAAAATACACTGAAGGGGTAATTATCCTTCTTCATCTTTGGATTATACTTCCCATACTGGCACCTGACCTATGCTCCATCTAATCTATTCCTTTCATTTCGTGATAGGAGGAAATGTATTATGAGGCCATTTGTTTGTTGTTGCCGGTCTTTGGACATCTGGTTTAAGTTGCATCTTAAACTTAATTCTAGTGGATTTGAAAATCTGGTCTCTCTCCCTGCCATCAAAGGTCTCTCTCTTATGCCTCCTTGCACCCCGGATGGACACAATTGTATCTTGAACCTTCTCAGATTGTTTTTAGATTTGATGGATATCTGTCATACTTGAGTTTAATGTTTTGAAGCCGTAGTTACCATGAAACGCGTCAACAAAAGCAAAATGACAAGTATAACTCTGTATTATGATCAGTGTATTCTTTTTCTGTTTCAATATTTTTATTAAGAAAGTTTTGTTTTAAGAATCTCCGCCCACTAGACCCAAAAAGAACAATCTTACTTTCATCAGTCCACAAAATGTTGCGCCATTTCTCATTAGGCCGGTCAATGTGCTCTTTGGCAGATTGTAACCTCTTCAGCACGTCTTTTTTCCAACAGTGGGACTTTGCGGGGGCTTCTTGCAGATAGCTTGGCTTCACATAGGCGTCTTCTAATTGTAACAGTCCTCACAGGGAACGTCACACCTTCTTTCATCTTCCTGGAGCTGATTGTTGGCTGAGTCCGCGCCATTTTGGCTATTCTTCTATCCATTCCAATGGTAGTTTTTCGCTTTCTTCCACGTCTTTCAGGTTTTGGTTGCCATTTTAAAGCATTTGCGATCATTTTAGCTGAGCAGCCGATCATTTTCTGCACTTCTTTATATGTTTTCCCCTCTCCAATCAATTTTTTATTCAAGGTACGCTGTCCTTCTGATCAATGTCTGGAACAACCCATTTTCCTCAGAATTTCAGAGAGAAATGCACTGTAACCAGCATGTCCAACATTTGCTGCCTTCCTTCCTTAAATAAGGGCAATAATTGCCACCTGTTTTTCAAAGAATGAATGACCTCACTAATAGAACTCCACACTGCTATTATTTTGAACATTCCCCTTTCAATGAGTGATTCAATTACACAGAATCAGCAGCATGCATGTCATGACTGTTGGGTCTGTTGGATTTCTATTACTCTACTACACCTGCTAGGAAATTATTTGTTGTGTAGAAATATCATTTCTACCAAAAACAGTGATTGATCCGGTTAGTGATGTCTGACTGCTATTATTTTGAACATAACTGTATGTTTAATAATAAAAACTATTGACCTTTTTTATATCAAACTCACGATTTCAATGATGTTTTTCAGAGCTATATAAAGATATCAGTGGGTCACCCTAGAACACTCCATTTTCTATTCTTTCATTTTTTCTATACATTCCATGAATTATACAGTTTTGAAACATGATATCATTTATTCACTTTTCTGTTAATCCATCTATCCATATCAATCTTCAATATAATCCACAGAGGTCATCGTGGTATCCTACCGGTCCCCCTCAACATTTTAATGTGTGTGCCTAGAGGTGCCCATATCTATTAGGAGCCTTAAAACACCCCTGTCCATAGTTCACTTGTTTTAAAAACTGTATAAAACTAAACTCTTCAATATGTTTTAATTAAAGAGTTCTTTTTATTCTGCCTCCGCTAGGTGAATATATTGTCATGACTACTCACTTCCACCTGAAGAGAAAAATTGGATACTTCGTTATACAGACCTATCTGCCGTGTATAATGACCGTCATCCTGTCACAAGTGTCTTTCTGGCTTAACAGGGAGTCAGTCCCAGCCAGGACCGTGTTCGGTAAGTTCAATGATGCAGGAAATATAAACATGCAATCATTCTTTTTGTTCCTTCCTTCTTTGGATATATTTGGATTTCTGTCTCCATCTTATTAGGGCTTTATGATTCCGTTTTTCATTCCTATAGTCCTCTCTCACTTTAATCTGTATGGTTATACTGTCTACTTGGGTCCCAAGTCCTACTCCATAGAAGCCGTGGTTTCCATGCACTGCACTGATGATGGTCAAAAAGCCTGAAACAATTCTATGCAGTTTGGAATAAATGGCTCAATAATATCAATATCACTCCATATTTTGGAGGTGCTTTTGGCTGATGGGGCTTAACCAGTTGTGGACCGGCCCATGTAGCTTTACTGCTACTGGGCAGCCATACTGTGAATCACGTGTGTGTGTGTGTATGTGTGTATATATATATATATATATATATATATATATATATCTCCATGCTGTCTTTGGCTCCCTTACATGTCAATCACCAGGTCCCACACATTGATTCATGGCTGGGACCTGGTGATCGGTCTAGCTGCTGACAGGAGTGAGAGATCTGTGAATGTAAACACAGATCTCTCTTCTGTCAGTGGGGATGTACTGGGTTTTATCTCTGTGCAAATCAGGGAATAAAAAACTGGACATTCCTTAGTAAAATAGCACACAGTAAAAACACTCCCTGGCACACAGTTAACCCTTTGATAACCCCTTCCTTCCCAGTGTCATTAGTTGTTGTTTTTTTTTTTTAATTAGCACTAACCACTGTATTAGTGTCACTGGTGAGGTCAGTGGCAGTTAGTCAGTTCCCACCCAGTGTCCATTAGTGTTAGAATGCCTGCCGTGATATCACAGTCCCACTATAAGCCTCTGATCACCGCTATTACTAGTATAAGAAGAAAAATCCAGTATCTATACCATAGTTTGTAGACATAATTTTCACACAAACCAATCAATATACACTTATTGGGATTTTTTTTTAACCAAAAACATGTAGCAGAATACATTTTGACCTCAATTTATGAAGACATTTTTTTATATTATTATTTTTTATATTATTTTTGTGTTAAAAAAAATTCTGTCTTTTTTCATATAAAGCGCAAATAATAAAAAATACCCAGGGGTGATCAAATACCACTAAAAGAAAGCTTTATATGTGTTGAAAAACCTATATAAATGTAACTCATGTACAGCGTTGAATGACTGTGCAATTGTCAGTTAAAGTAGCGCAGCACCATATAGCAAAAAATAGCCTGGTCATGAGAGGGGGGTAAGTATTCCAGAGGGCAAGTGGTTAAAGAAATAGGTTGCATGGCCCCACGTGCTGTCCTCAAATAAAGATTATTCCTTTCATTATTATTAATGTTTTATTTTTATTCCTTTCATTATTACAGTGAAGGAAATGTGTATTTGATCCCCTGCTCATTTTGAATGTTCGCCCCTCACACAGAAATAATCAGTCTAAAAATCGAATGTTCGATGTATTGTAACCCTGAGAGACAGAATACAACAACAAATTCAGCAGAAATGCGTCTAACAAATGATGACTGATCTGCATGTTCATGAGGGAAATAAGGATTTGATCCCCTATCATTCAGCAGGATTTCTGGCTACCAGGTGTCTTTCATACAGGTAACAAGCTGAGATTAGAAGCAGTCTCTTAAAGGAGTGCTGCTAATCTCATGTTGCTACCTGTATAAAAGACACCTGTCCACAGGAGCAATCAAACCATCAGATTCCAAACTCTCCACCATGGCAATGACCAAAGAGCTGTCCAAGGATGTCAGGGACAAGATTGTAGACCTACACAAGGCTGGACTGGGCTACCAAACTATGGCCAAGCAGCTTGGTGAGAAGGTGACAACAGTTGGTGCAATCATTCGCAAATGGAAGAAACACAAAACAAGTGTCAGTCTCCCTAGGTCTGGTGCACCATGCAAGATCTCACCTCGTGGAGTGTCAATGATCATGAGAACAGTGAGGAATCATCCCAGAACTACACGTGAGGATCTTGTCAATGATCTCCAGGCAGCTGGGACCACAGTCACCAAGAAAACAATTGGTAACATACTACGCCGACAAGCACTGAAATCCTGCAGTGCCCGCAAGGTTCCTCTGCTCAAGAAAGCACATGTCCAGGCCCATCTGAAGTTTGCCACTGAATATCTGAATGATGCAGAGGAAGTGTTGTGGTCAGATGAGACCAAAATCCATCTCATTGGCATCAACTCAACTTGCCGTGTTTGGAGGAAGAGGAATGCTGCTTATGACCCCAAGAACATCATCCCAACTGTCAAACATGGTGGTGGAAACATTCTGCTTTGGGGGTGTTTTTCTGCTTTGGGGACAGGACAACTGCAGCGCATCAAAGGGACGATGGACGGGGCAATGTACCATCAAATCTTGGGTTAGAACCTTCTTCCCTCAGCCAGGGCATTGAAAATGGGTGGTAGATGGGTGTTCCAGCATGACAATGACCCAAAACACACGGCCAAGGCAACAAAGGAGTGGCTCAAGAAGAAGCACATTAAGGTCCTGGCGTGGCCTAGCCAGTCTCCAGACCTTCATCCGATTGAAAATCTGAGGACGGAGTTGAAAGTTCGAGTTGCCAAATGTAAGTCACCAAACCTTAATGACTTGGAGAGGATGTGCCAAGAGGAGTGGGCCAAAATCCCTCCTGAGATGTGTGCAAACCTGGGGGCCAACTCCAGGAAATGTCTGACCTCTGTGATGGCCAACAAAGGATTTGCCACCAAGTACTAAGTCATGTTTTGTGAAGGGGATCAAATCCTTCTTTCCCTCACGAACTTGCAGATCAGTCATCATTTGTTAGACATGCATTACTTATGAATTTTTTGTTGCTATTCTGTCTCTCAGTGTTACAATACACCGAACATTTGATTTGTAGACCGATCATTTTTTTGTGAGGGGCAAACATTCAACATCAGCAGGGGATCAAATACGCATTTCCTTCACTGTATTATTGTTTTATTTTTATTCCTTTCATTATTATTGTTTTATTTTTCTTCCTTTTATTTTTGGGTTATGATGAAATGAAACGTGAATACCTTCTAAGAAGGCATTACTGTGTTGGGCAATAAGTTGACTGGAGAACTGGATTCCTTTAGTCCCTTCTCTCCATAACCTGTATGGTTGTACTGTCTTTTTGTCTAATTCTACCCCCCTAGAAGCCATGGTTTCTATACGCTGCACTGAGGATGGCCAACAACCTTGGACCAGCTGTATGCCGTTTGAAATAATTGTCTCTATAATATCGGGCTATATTTGCACTATACCCCAGTGGTTCTAGATGAATATATGGCTTATTGGGGCATAAAGGAGTGATTTGCATGGTTCTGCTCCCTGTCCAGAAATAAGGAAAAATCATCTTAGTTTTTAGGAAATGGGAAGGAATGAGACATGTGAATAATATTCTATATACAATAAAGCCAGTTCAGCAGGGACCGGACGAATTTCGATTCATGTATTGGCACCCTGGTTTTACATTAGTCGATCCATCGATAGCCTTGTACACAACCAGGCCTGACGGGTTTTTCTGAAACGATTAACACCTCTGGCTATGGCTGGCAACCATCATTGTGTTCTGCCCACAGGAAAGGCTCCCCATTGGTCAATCGCTGCGGGAGGGATTTCCCCATCAACTGTGTAGCTGGGGGGGAAATCAAGTAATTTTCTTTCCTCCCACCTGGTGGACGGCCTTACTCACTTGGAGAGATTTTTGATTCCTTTGGTATGTTCTCACCATAACCTGTGTGGTTATTCTGTGTCTTAATCTTATGGTGCATAAAGCCAAAGTATTGGCTCGGCCATCCCCCTCACCCCACACACACATTATGCTTTTTTCATTTTATTTTTTTTATACTTACCCTTTTCAGATACATTATATTGCAAAGTATTGCCCCCTCCACATAATGTGATTCAGGTGTTCCAATCCCCTCCCAATCATGTGATTCAGGTGTTCCAATCCCCTCCATGGACACAGGTGTATACAATCAAGCCCCTAGACATGCAGACGGCTTCTACAAACATTGGTGAAAGAATGGGTCGCTCTCAGGAGCTCAGTGACTCCAAGCGTGGTCCTGTGATAGGTGGCCACCTGGGCAATAAGTCCATCCGTGACATTTCCTGGCTACTAAATATTCCACGCTCAACTGTTAGTGGGATTATAACAAAGTGGAAGCAACTGGGAACAACAGCAACTCAGCCACCAAGTGGTAGGCCACGTCACATGATGGTGCGGGGTCAGCGCATGATGAAGCACACAGTGCGCAGAAGTCACCAACTGTCTGCAGAGTCAATAGCTAAAACCTCCAAACTTGGTGTGGCCTTCAGATGAGCCCAACAAGAGTGTGTAGAGAGCTTCATGGAATGGGTTTCCATGGCCGAGCAGCTGCATCCAAGCCTTCCATCACCAAGTGCAATGCAAAGCATCGGATGCTGTGGTGTAAAGCACACCGCCACTGGACTCTACAGCAGTGGAGGCGTGTTCCCTGGAGTGACAAATCACACTTCTCTGTCTGGCAATCCCATGTACGTGTCTGGGTTTGGTGATTGCCAGGAGAACCATACTTGCCTGACTGCATTGTGCCAAGTGTAAAGTTTGGTGGAGGGGGGATTATGGTGTGGGGTCGGGCTTGGCCCCCTAGTTCCAGTGAAGGGAAATCTTAAGGCGCCAACATACCAAGACACTTTAGACAATTTCATGCTCCTAACTTTGTGGGAAGAGTTTGGGGATGGCCCTTTCCTGTTCCAACATGACTGCACACCAGTGCACAAAGCAAGGTCCATAAAGACATGGAGGAGCCAGTTTGGGGTGGAAGAACTTGATTGGCCTGCACAGAGTCCTGACCTCAACCCCATAGAACAGCTTTGGGATGAATTAGAGCGGAGACTGCGAGCCAGGCCTCCTCCCCCGACATCAGTGCCTGACCTGACAAATGTGCTTCTAGAAGAATGGTCCAACCTTCCCATAGACACCCTCCTAAACCTTGTGGGGGGCCTTCCCAGAAGAGTTGAAGCTGTTATAGCTGCAAAGGGCGGGGCCAACTCAATATTGAACCCTACGGACTAAGACTTGGGGGGGGCATTAAAGTTCATGTGCATGGAAAGGGCGGGGCCAACTCAATATTGAACCCTACGGACTAAGACTGGGAGGGCATTAAAGTTCATGTGCATGGAAAGGCCCAAAACTTTTGGCAATATAGTGTATGTTTAGGCTGGTTGCATAAAACGCTGGGTTCTTGGCCTCTCCCAATCTTCACCAGCAGTGGGCAGTGCTGAGGTGATGGCATCAGTGCAATTTGCATTACATTGTGAATCCGCCCCTGACACCCTGCACTCACTGTATGTCCTCAGTGTTCTTGGTTGAATGTTACTGGCGGTCATTTAGCCTGTAAGATCTCTGGTGGAGAAAATGAAGTACTGCTGGAGACTGCATTTTTTTTTTCTTTTTTGCTGGAGGGACCATTTTGTAAATTAAAAAATACACCCAGTGAAGTGACAGGCCTCAGGTGATACATGGAGATGATGCAAATAATCTTATATAAGTTGTACCTATTTATCTGCCACGATTTCTTCTGTACAGCTGTTTAAAGTCCAGAATTTACAAAGCATTTCTGAGCTTTCAGAAAGCAGCAAGCAGGGAGCTGAAGTTAAACTCTGCAGAGGTGATTAGAGGGAAGCAACACACCTCCCTCCCTCCTTGTCCACGCAGCACATATAGGAACAGAGCTGAGGTTGTCAATCAAAGGCTGTGTGCTGGAGCTCCCTCCCCTGCCAGCCTTTCATGTCTTGGTGTCAGGTAAAAGTCAGAAGTGTCTCATGCAGATAGTAGAGGAATGAAGCAGCAGACAGAAAGGACACATAGGGGTTGATTTACTAAAACTGATGCAGCTCTTCACAGAAACCAATCAACTTCCATTTTTTTTTTGTCAAAGCTTAATTGAACAAGCTGAAGCTAGAAGCTGATTGGCTGCCATGCACAGCTGCACCAAATTGTGCACACTCCAGTTTTAGTAAATCATCCCCTTAGTACTCTGGACTGAGACACATACACAGTATAGAGGGATATGCTTTGTTCATATTTTTAATGTTAGGGGTTTTTAACCACTTTAATAAAAAAAAAACAGCAGAAAAAGTCAAGGTTATGTGAGGTCAGTGGATCAGAGTTCTAGGAAAGCCAATCCATAACTATGCAAGGATGTGTCCTCGCATGATTTGGAACCCCCAGCTTTCCCAAGATCCTGGCAGTGAAGTCAGCCTCACCTAGGTGACCCGTCCAGAATCAAAGGTATAAGGTAGGTCATTTTCAATTTTGCTCGGTTTTATTTAACTATGCTTTTTAATGTGGGGGCAGGGGGTCTTTTAGATAAGTGAGCCTTGCGTTTTAATGCGAAGTACACTTTAAAGGGTCACTTAGAACCACAGTGCCTAGCAGAGAACATGCTATCTGGCAGACTTGAAAGTTGCTTTTGGAGCTCTACATGATGGGAGACTTCAGCCTCCTGGAGAGGTAAGTACTGAAATTCTATTTTACAAGGTATCCTTTGTTTTTTGTTTTTTTGTTTTTTTTTACAGAGTCGACTGGGTCTTGTTTTACACGAGTATTTCTTTCTAAAATGTATAGATTTCTCATCTGTGAGTGTGGTGACTTTATGCAACATGCTTGTATGACAGCTTTTCTCTTTACCTTAGGAGTCACTACTGTTCTGACCATGACGACACTGAGCATCAGCGCACGGAACTCGCTGCCCAAGGTTGCCTACGCTACAGCAATGGATTGGTTTATGGCGGTGTGCTATACTTTTGTCTTCTCCGCACTTATTGAGTTCGCTACAGTCAATTATTTCACTAAAAGGGGCTGGGCCTGGGATGGTAAAAGAGCCCAGGAAGGCCAGACCTTCAAGGTAAGAAAGAAATATATATATATATATATTTTTTTTTTTTTTTTTTTTTTTTACAGCGCTAGAGCAAATAGCTGTCCCTGCACCATTTCAAAGTGGTTAACCACTTCAAGTCCGGACACTTTCACCCCCTTCCAGTCCAGGCCAATTTTCAGCTTTCCATGCTATCACACTTTGAATGACAATTGCGCGGTCATGCAACACTGTACTGTGGACGCGGACAACCATTTTGTTAAGGTCTACCATCTTCTATCATGATCTGAAAATATATAATTCCACTCCGTCCCCCTTCCCCTTTGAATGGAATGCGGTGTGTGTGTGCACTGGGGTCACAAGTGCATAGGGCACAGCTGAATGGGCTTCATGGTTGTAACCCCAATTAGCCTGGTTCCAGAATGTCTGACAAACCCTTGCCTTGGCCTGGTCGTAAAGCCATAACTCAGTCAGTCACTTGACATGTAAGCATTCCAGAAGGGCCATAAAACGTACATTGCACATGAGTCATTTCTCATACAAATTCATAAACTTCTGCAGGAACTTATCACATTGATAGAACATATATATTTGGATAGGTCATTTTAATACGAGTCACATGACACCTTACACCCCTATGTAGCGCCTGCAAGGAGGTAGAAAGCAATATCTTTTATCCGGAGTAAGAGAATAAGCTACAGTCTAGTATCTGTGCATCCGGAATATCATTCTAAATATTAATCTGCCAGTTGCTAGGATGCTACCTGCATCTATTGAAGGTTAGGGACCATAGTATGAACTTGTAAGGGATTTGGTCCTAATCCTTGGTTACTGCCTGCCACCCACCCCCAAATGAGGCGATTGGTTCTCTGCTTTAAGGAGACCCCCTGCTGGGATACTAGAAAAAAGGCTGACATGCCTGGAGAAAAAAGAAGAGATACCTCCCTTTTAACATCAGGAACCATCTTTGGGAGAAAGGCAACCTTTTGTTCAGACAATTGGACTCTGCCCAGACCAAGGTTCTTGCAAGTATCCTACCTTCTGAAACTTCTCTCTTTTATTTCTGTTGTTTTATTACTCTCTCTATATATATATATATATATATATATATATATATATATATATATATATATATATACAGTGGGGCAAAAAAGTAGTCAGCCACCAATTGTGCAAGTTCTCCCACTTACAAAGATGAGAGAGGCCTGTAATTGGCATCATAGGTAGACCTCAACTATGAGAGACAAAGTGAGAAAAACAAATCCAGACAATCACATTGGCTGATTTGGAAAGAATTTATTTGCAAATTATGGTGGAAAATAAGTATTTGGTCAATATGAAAAGTTCATCTCAATACTTTGTTATATATCCTTTGTTGGCAATGACAGAGGTCAGACGTTTCCTGCAAGTCTTCACAAGGTTGGCACACACTGTTCCTGGTATGTTGGCCCATCCTCCATGCAGATCTTCTCTAGAGCAGTGATGTTTTGGGGCTGTCGCTGGGCAACACGGATTTTCAACTCCCTCCAAAGGTTTTCTATGAGATTGAGATCCGGAGACTGGCTAGGCCACTCCAGGACCTTGAAATGCTTCTTACGAAGCCACTCCTTCGTTGCCCGGGTGGTAGTGTTTGGGATCATTGTCATGTTGGAAGGCCCAGCCACGTTTCATCTTCAGTGCCCTTGCTGATGGAAGGAGGTTTGCACTCAAAATCTCACGATACATGGCCCCATTCATTCTGTCCTGTACATGGATCAGTCGTCCTGGTCCCTTTGCGGAGAAACAGCCCCAAAGCTCATTTTCTGAGATTGTGGATTTGGGGTTTTCATGAGCTGTAAGCCATAATCATCACAATGATGACAAATCTCGGCTTGAACTATTTTGCTTTGCATGTAATGAGTCTATCTCATATATTAGTTTCACCTTTTTAGGTTGCATTACTGAAATAAACGAACTTTTGTACGATATTCTAAATTTTTCGAGTTTCACCTGCGTGTATATACAGTGAGGAACAGAAGTATTTGAACACCCTGTGATTTTGCAAGTTCTCCTACTTAGAAATCATGGAGGGGTCTGAAATTCACATTGTAGGTGCATTCCCACTCTGAGAGACAGAATTTAAAAAAAAATTCAAGAAATCACATTGTATGATTATTTAAAGAATTTATTTGTCTTGCACTGCTGAACATAAGTATTTGAACACCTAAGAAACAGCAAGAATTCTGGCTCTCAAAGACCTGTTACTGTGCCTTTAAGAAGTCCACCTCTACTCCACTCATTAATCTAACTAAGTAGCACCTGTCTGAGCTCTTTAAAGACACCTGTCCACCCCACAGTCAGTCAGATGCCAACTACGACCATGGGCAAGACCAAAGAGCTGTCAAAAGACACCAGAGACAAAATTGTGGACCTCCACAAGGCTGGAAAGGACTACAGGGCAATTGCCAAGCAGCTTGGTGAAAATAGATCAACTGTTGGAGCAATTGTTAGAAAATGGAAGAGGCTAAAGACAACTGTCAGTCTCCCTCGGACTGGGGCTCCATGCAAGATCTCACCTCGTGGGGTATCACTGATAAGAAAGGTGAGGAATCAGCCCAGAACTACAAGGGAGGAGCTGGTCAATGACATGAAGAGAGCTGGGACCACAGTCTCAAAGGTCACTGTCGGTAGAACACTACGCCGTCATGGTTTCAAATCATGCATTGCACGGAAGGTTCCCCTGCTCAAGTCATCACATGTCCAGGCCCGTCTGAAGTTTGCCAATGACCATCTGGATGATCCAGAGGAGGCATGGGAGAAAGTCATGTGGTCAGATGAGACCAAAGTAGAACTTTTTGGTCTAAACTTCACTCTTCGTGTTTGGAGGAAAAAGAAGGATGAGTTGCATCCTAAGAACACCATCCCTACTGTGAAGCACGGGGGTGGTAACATCATGCTTTGGGGGTGCTTTTCTGCGAAGGGGACAGGATGACTGCACTGTATTAAGGAGAGGATGAATGGGGCCATTTATTGTGAGATTTTGAGCAACAACCTCCTTCCCCTCAGTCACAGCATTGAAGATGGGTTGTGGCTGGGTCTTCCAACATGACAACGACCCGAAGCACACAACCAGGATACCCAAGGAGTGGCTCCGTAAGAAGCATATCAAGGTTCTGGAGTGGCCTAGCCAGTCTCCAGACCTAAATCCAATAGAACATCTTTGAAGGGAGCTGAAACTCCGTGTTGCTCAGCGACAGCCCAGAAACCTGACAAATCTAGAGGAGATCTGTGTGGAGGAGTGGGCCAAAATCCCTGTTGCAGTGCAAACCTGGTCAAGGACTACAGGAGACGTTTGACCTCTGTAATGGCAAACAAAGGCTTCTGTACCAAATATTAACACTGATCTTCTCAGGTGTTCAAATATTTATGTTCAGCAGTGCGAGACAAATACATTCTTTACAAACCATACAATGTGATTTCCTGAATTATTTAAAAAAATTCTGTCTCTCAGAGTAGGAATGCACCTACAATGTGAATTTCAGACCCCTCCATGATTTCTAAGTAGGAGAACTTGCAAAAGTGCAGGGTGTTCAAATACTTCTGTTCCTCACTGTGTGTATATATATATATATATATATATATATATATATATATTTTATTATATATATATATATATATATATTTATTTGTTACATCTTTTTCTGTAAATATTTTAATTGCACCAATTTGACCTTTTTTAGTAATAAATCCTATTTTCTGAAAAGTGTTGAAACTCTCTCTAAAGCTTCTAGTGCAAACTAAAGAATCCCTGTCTCTTGAAGAGTGCTACTGTATGTAATAATCCTCTGAATACATCTGTCTGTGGTGGCAGTGTGTATTACAGACGCTTATATTTATATCATAGTGTTACTGCTAAGAGCTGTGAGTTTCCTCCTTCTCTGTAAAAAGGTTACGGTGGCAGTGTGAAGGGTTAATTGCATAATTAACCTGACCCAGTAACAATCGCTCTCATGCGGCTGGCACATAGATTGTGGTCGCTCGAGCTGGAAAATCTTTGTGCAGGGTGCAGCTGAGAGTGGCATTGTTGCGCAAGTGACAGCGTGGGTCTGGGATCAGCTGGTCCTTTGGTCACAAGTTGGTGAGAAGGGCTGGGGTCTGACGCCACGCACAGTCACATGTACCCATATGATTTTTTGTTAGCTTTTTTTGAGACAGATAAAACTTTATTTTGGTGGTATTTATTCACCACTGGGATTTTTATTTTTTTTCTATATGAATGAAAATGTCCAAAAATGTTGAAAAAAAGTGTTTTTCTTCTAAAAGTTTGCAAATAAATATTCATAAATCTTGGCCAAAATGTATTCAGTTATATTTTTAGTTAAAAAAAAACAAAATTAGTTTATAACCAAAAATTATAATTTTTCTAATTTTATTTTTTTATATTATTATTTATGGGGGTTTTTAACATACTGTCACCCTAGCAGTACAGTGTCACCATAGTGACACTGTACTACTTGTGGGGGGTGATGAAGAGTTTTTGTTTTTTTTTCACGCTGATTGCTTTTACACCCATAAAGGCTGTAAAATCAGTCATTTCTCCTTCTCTCTGACTGCATTCTTGCAGCCATTGAGAAATACTGTGAGAGCTGTGATTGGTTATAGCTTGTCACATGGTACAAGTCTGTTGTGAATAGCCCTGTACCTTGTGACCTTGGTGATCATTCACAGATTTCATACGTAGTAAGCAATGATGTCAGGTAATGACATCTTGCTTACTACTATTCATGTGATCACTGATTGGCCACAAGGAGTCAAAGCCAGCTGCCCACAGTTAAGATGCCGGCATCAGGGCCTAAAGACCAGTGGAAAAACTGGCACAGGTGAGGACAGCACTGGATCCCTAGATAGTTGTGTCTGTTTATTAAAAGTCTTTTAAATTAAAGACTTTTAATTTTCAAACATAAGACTGCAGCTACGCCTTAATGATTCACAAGGGTGACTCAGAAATAACTAATATCAGGCTGCTTATTTAGAAGTTTTATATCAATGCAGTGCCTTAGGGTATGATGCTACTGTATGTGCTGTCTCCTAAGACAACCCAAAAAGCTCTGTAAATCCATTGTCATGCATGCAATGGTATTTGTAAAACAGATTCTGTATTCATACACTATATGGCCAAAACTATATGCACAACCCCTCCAAATTGTGGAGTTCAGGTGCTTCCAGCAAAGGGAACAGGTAGTACTTTGTACTGCATACAAAGACATTGTACACAATTGTGTTCTTCAACCTTGTGGCAACAGTTTGGGAAAGACCCTTTACAGGTTCTACCATGACTGTGCCACTGTGTACGAAGCCAGCTCTATAAAGATATTGTTTGATGAGACTGGTGTGGAGGAACTTGAATGGCCTTCAGAGTCCTGACCTCAATCCTACTGAAAAGGTCTAAGTCACTTCTACTTATCCAACATCAGTACCTGACCTCACAAATGGGCACAAATTCCCACAACCTCCATAATTTTCAGGAATACCTTTCCCAGAAGAGTGGAGGCTGTTGTAGCCTCATAGGTTGGGTAGGAGGATGAGCAACTCCATATTAATGTCCATGGTTTTGGAATAGGATGTCCAACAATCCCGTATACTGTACTTGTAGGTGTGATAGTCAGATGTCCACAAACCTTTGGCTATATAGTATAACTAAACAATATAATAACATTGACTCAACCATTATAGTTTCCGTTTTAACATGTGTTGTGATGTAGAATGTAGAATGAATTTAGGGCTTTAAAAAATATCACCAATTCATTCAAACAAGTCCCATGACAAGTCAGATATAGAAAATGCATGAGATCTGAAAAAGGATACTACAGGGGAAAATTCAAGCGCACAGATCTCTAGGTAAGATAAATTGTAAGGCCAAGTGATCTGAGTATGAAGGTAGTTGGAAGCAAAAGTAAGAGTATCAAAGATGGTATGTTTACAATACAATTCAATTCAGAGGGCCCTGCTCATGAGAGCTTCTAGTTTAATAGAGAGGGCAAGTTGCACAAAAAGTAACAACTGTGAGAGAGATGAGCTAATGGAAAAATTAAAGTGGTTCTACAGCCTCAGGGTTTTTTTTACCTCAATGCATTAAGGTAAAAACCCTTCTGCAGGAAGCTCCCCTTTCCCCCAGACCCAGACCCCTTGCCTGAGCCCCATCTTGATCCAGCCTTGCGCGTGAGATCAGTTACTCTCCCGGGACTCTCTCTCCTCATAGGCTTAGAAACAGCAGTGGGAGCCAATCACAGCCACTGAGCCAGTAAGGAGAGAGCGGGGAGAGGGGCCGAGAACTGCTCTGTGTGTGAAAAGACAGAGCGCGGCTCCGGAGCGAACCCAGATGAATGCCCCCATAGCAAACGGCTTGCTATGGGGCAATGGGAAGGGTGGAAGAGCCAGGAGTGCCAGTGGGGGACCAGAGGAGGGGAGCATCGGGGCTGCGCTATGCAAAACCATTGCACAGAGAAGTTAAATATCACGTTTGTTTGTTTTCCTTTTTTTATTTAGAGCTACTTTAAAAATCCAATGATTAGGTGAAAATGGGATAGGCTTCACTGAAGAGATGAGTTTTCAGGGATCATCTAAAGGTGGCCAGAATAGGAAATAGCTGGACAAATTAGGGTAGGGATTTTCAGAGGATAAGAGAGGCTCCGGAGAAGTTCTGGAGGTGAACAAGGAAGTGGGAGACAAGGGAGCTAGAGGGCAGGAGGTCTTTGGAGGAGTAAAGAGGTTAGTCTAGGTAATATTTTGATAAGAGGTTGTCAATGTGGCTCGGGGCAGACTTGTAGGTAACTTTGCATGGTATTGCAGGTATTTTGAATTTTATTTTTTGGGCAATTTATAAGCCAATGTAATTATTGCCAAAATAGTGCAGTGGACATTGATAGGTTCGTAAGCTAGATGATTCTGGCTGTAGCTTTAAAGATAGACTGAAGAGGGAATATCCTGTGAAGAAGTAGACCAACATGGAAGGGGTTGCAACAGTCAAGGTGAGAGATAACATAGGAGTGAATGAGTAACTTGGTGGTTTAATTGATTAAGAAGGGTATTTTGGAAGAGTTAATTATGTGAAGTCTATAAGATTTGGACAGGGATTGGATTTGAGGTTGGAAGGAAAGGTCAGAGTCTAGTATTACACCTAGTACCGTGGCATGAGTGAAGGGACTACTAATAGTAATAGTGTTGTATTATTGATCTTGATGGAAAAGTTGGATAGTGGGTAAGGAGAGACTTTAATATTATTGTGACGATCGCGGCGTCAGAGCCCCAGCCCTTCTCACCAACTCGTGACCGAAGGACTAGCCAATCTAAAACCGCGCTGTCACGTGCGTAACAATGCCACGCTCAGCTGCACCCTGCAGAAAGATTTTCCAGCTAATGGACCACAATCTATGTACCTGCAGCCTGAGAGCAATTGTTACTGGGTCAGGTTAATTACGCATTTAACCCTTTACACTGCCACCACCGCCTTTTTGTAGAGAAAAGGAGGAAACTCGCCAATATTAGCAATAACACTATGATGTTTGAATAATCATCTGTATACCACTGTCACCGCAGGCAGAGATATATAGAGGTTTAAAACACACAGTAGCGCTCTTCAGAGACAGGGATTCATAGTTTGCATTAAAGAGCTTTAGAAACAGTATTACTAAAAAAGTCAAAATGGTGTAATAAAAGTATTTACAGAAAAAGATGTAGCATATATATATATATACAGAGAGCAATACCACAACAGAGAGATAACAGAAGTTTAGAGAGGTAGAGTACTTGCCAAAAGTCCGGGGTTAAGCAGATCAGGTTTCAGGTCAAAAGGGTACCGTCTCCCAAGTTGGTTCCGATGTTTAAAAGGGAGAATTCTTCAACTTAACTGCTCCAAGCATAACAGCCTTTTTCTAGGAACTCAGCAGGGTGTCTCCTTAAAGCAGAGAACCAATCGCCTCATTTGGGGAGGGGTGTTGTAGGCAGGGGACTCAGGATAGAACCAAAATCCCTCACAAGTTATACCAGGGCAATAACCTTCCCTAAGTACATGTAACATTCTATCCACGGGTAGATTAATATGCAGAATCATCTGCTGAACGTCTAGATATCAAACATGACATAATTTACTATTCCAGCTAGAACTATATGGCTTTCTGCTCTCCTGTAGACTTCCACGAGGGGTGTAAGATATCAGACGACTCGCATTAAATTGAGTTATCCGAATATATGCTTTATGTTTATGTAATTATTTCCTACCTTAAGATATAAAATTATATGGAAAAGTGGGTTTTAAATGTGAGGTCTGTTTTCGGCTAGCTGGAGTGTCTTTGAAGCCCAGTGTAGGATTGGTTTATGGTTTTACGATTATCCCAGATTGAGAAGCTAACAGACACCCGGGCACCAGCTAATTTGGGATTTATAACCATGAAGGTCTCCAGCTGGGCCTGATGCCTTTAGAACTCAGAGACCACATTCCTGAGGAGGGGGATTGGAGGGAGAGAGATATACAAGATGGAGGGTCTTGAGTAAGATGGATGACCGTGTCCATCTCTGTACGTACAATTGCTACAATTCTGAATTGGGTTTGAAGAAGGGTTATGACATCCACACCGATATATGAGTTAGTAATGTCAGAGGGGGTGAGGTTGAGGAGTAGAGAGATAGATTTGGATGTCATCAGTATAAAGAGGGTATCGGAAACCATGGGAGATTATCAAGTGACCAACGGAGGAGGTGTAAATAAAGAAGAGTAGGAGCCTGAGGACAGAATCTTGGAGGATCCTTATGGAAAAATAAAGTGGAGAGTTGTAGGCAACAGAGAAAGAACGCTGCGACTGGTGGGAGTAGAAACAGGAAATCAGTGGGCTTCCCGGAGAGGGCTGAAGGAAAACAGCCTGAGGATTTTCTGGAATGTTGGCTTAAGGAACGTATGGAAGCTTGTACTTTCTGCCGCCTATTTGCCATAGAACGGGCGCATAGGATTCCCATGTGGGCTCCGCGTCCAGAAGCTCCTCCAAGGCCTATGATAGCACGTATACTACACTTTTTGGACCGGGAGAATATTTTCAAAGTGGCTAGAGCACTTGGAGAACTTCTCTACAATGGCAGTCGTATATCTATATATCCTGATTTTTCCGCAGCTACGCAGAAGCAGCGGGCGAGTTTTGTTCATGTGAAAAAACGACTTTGAGTGTCAGTTGATATACAGTATGCTATATCCTGCTAAGTTGCGAGTGGTGGATAGGGGTAGAGTATATTTTTTCAATAGCCCAGTGGAGGCCCCCCATTTGACTGGATGCCAGGGGGTGCCCGAATGTGGCGGATGGCCGCATGGACGATTGACCTCTTCTATGGATGTCTATTATCCTACAAGGAACTTGATGTCTCTTTCCCAGTTTAACGCTGTGGGGGCTGTGTTTTTTTTTTTGGGCCCTGTGAGAACATAGAGCTGCCTGAGGACTTTGTACTCTGAAGAAGATTGGTGCATGACTTTATCTTGGGTCCTTCTGTGATAATACTTTGATTTAGTCCCATGCAAGAGGTTTAGTACCTCTAATTACGGTGGTTATTTATTGTTACTAAGTGTTCACTATTTGCCACTCCGGATAGGCGATTCTGTCTCTAGAAGTTGGCTTGGAGACGGGACCCCCTATATTGGTATTGGAGGGTTTGGTGTAGACCTCTGACCCCCAAGGTTGGTTATCTTTTTCTGTGTTATGGGAATAAAGCACTCAACAAGTTGCGGTTGTATATACATGTGTTAAGGGTTAAGACAGATCCAGGAGGAAGATTTGTTATTTTAGTCTGTAAAATTTTTACTCAGTGTTTTACTTTTGTGAGCTTATATATTCCTCCACCATTCTCCTTCGCAGTATTAGAGGATATTTTCTCAGATATATGCCTCTCTGTGGCAGAGGGGGCTTTTCTGCTTCTGGGGGACTTTACTGTGATTTCGAATGCTGCTCTGGATCATTAGGGCTGTGTATCTAGGTCTCAATCGGTGTTGGCAACATGGCTGGAGACCCATGAGTTAGTTGATGTTTGGAGACATAGGAACCCGGGGGTAAGAGAGTTCTCCTGCCATTCAAAAACTCACCATACTCTCTCTCTTGAATTGAGCTCTGAGGGTTGATGTAGAACAACTTGAGACTCAAGTGTCCTGGGCTGAATGCTTGTATGTTGGAGATCCCTCTTCTAATAACTACAGTTGTGGCCAAAATTATTCAACCCCCAATGCTGTAAAGGGGTTTAGGGACTATAGTGTACATTTGGAATTGTATTCAGAATCAAATCCTACAAGGACGTTGTAACTACCCAAATGCAACTAAAATGACATCAATTGTTTATGTAATACAGTAGTAAATGGTTCTTATGTGGTTTCTTCATTGCCACAATTATTCAACCCCTTAAAGACTACCACTCTGAAGAACAGAGGTTCATACAGGTGCTTTCCATCAGGTATTGAAAACACCTGTGGATGTCACCGAGCAGCAATCAAGCATAATAAGCACCAATTAGGCAGCTTTAAAATGACTGTGATACTCAGCTCCTTCTAGACATTTACTGGTGTGGTTACAAACATGGTGAAGGCAAGAGAATGGTCCAGGAAGACAAGAGAAGAGGTGATTTCTCTTCACAGGAAGGGCAATGGCTATAAGAAGATTGCAAAGATGTTAAACATACCAAGAGACACCTTAGGAAGCATCATTCGCAAATTCAAGGCAAAGGGCACTGTTGAAACGCTACCTGGTCGTGGCAGAAAGAAGATGCTGACTTCGACTGCTGTGCGCTACCTGAAGCGTAGAGTGGAGAGAAGTCCCCGTGTGACTGCTGAGGAACTGAGAAAAGATTTGTCAGATGTGGGTACAGAAGTTTCAGCCCAGACAATAAGACGCACACTGCGTAATGAAGGCCTCCGTGCCAGAACTCCCAGGCGTACCCCCTTGCTGTCTCCAAAGAATAAGAAGAGTCGACTGCAGTATGCCAAAAGCCATGTGGACAAACCACAAAAGTTGTGGGATAGTGTTCTGTGGACTGATGAAACAAAATTAGAACTGTTTGGGCCCATGGATCAACGCTATGTTTGGAGGAGGAAGAACAAGGCCTATGATGAAAAGAACACCTTGCCTACTGTGAAGCATGGTGGAGGGTCAATCATGCTTTGGGGCTGTTTTGCTTCTGCAGGTACAGGGAAGCTTCAGCGTGTGCAAGGTACCATGAATTCTCTTCAGTACCAGGAGATATTGGATGGAAACGTGATGCAGTCCGTCACACACCTGAGGCTTGGGAGACGTTGGACCTTTCAACAGGACAATGATCCCAAGCATACCTCCAAGTCCACTAGAGCATGGTTGCAGAGGAAAGGCTGGAACATTTTGGAGTGGCCATCGCAGTCACCAGACTTAAATCCGATTGAGAACCTCTGGTGGGACTTAAAGAAAGCAGTTGCAGTGCGCAAGCCTAAGAATGTGACTGAACTGGAGGCCTTTGCCCATGAAGAATGGGCGAAGATACCCGTAGATCGCTGCAAGACACTTGTGTCAAGCTATGCTTCACGTTTAAAAGCTGTTATAACTGTAAAAGGATGCTGTACTAAGTACTAAGATTGAATGTCACTTGGGGGTTGAATAAAACTGATAATGCTGTGAGCACAGAAAAGACATTTGTGGTTATTTCATTATAACTGTTATGTTATATTTGTCTGACCTACAAGTGCCTCTTTAATGTAAATGTAAGCAAGATGACTGAATGATCAAAAGCAATGTCAAACTGGCCAAAACACTCAATTTCAGTGGGGGTTGAATAATTTTGGCCACAACTGTATAAAACATGGCAGGAATACTTACGCTTGTATCGTATTCATTTGGCAGAGCAAGTGAGTAAAGGTAAACTGCATCAACGCAAACGCATATTTGAGTTTGCGGATAAAAATAGGCATTTTTATAGCTTTTTTAGCCAGATCCTCCTTCACTCCAATTTCTATATTATGTATTCATAATCCTCAGGGCAAGATTATTGAAGAGACACAGGAGATATTGTGCACTTTTGAGCAATTTTATCAGTCTCAGGGTGATGTTTCGGCATCCTCTATATCAGAATATTTAGCATCTACCTAAGAGATTGAGGTTGCAATTGCTTCTCTTTCCCCTCATAAATCTCCTGGTCTTGACTGCTATCTGATGGAATGGTATAAATTATATTGGGAACTGTTGGTGCCATACCTCCTAATTCTAAAGCTAGTCGGGTCTGACCAGACTGGCTTTATGCCAGGCAGGTGTGCTCATATTAATCTTAGGCGGCTCTTAGTTAATTTGCAAGTAATGCATGATAACGCAGCGGATAGAGTGATATTGTCATTAGATACAAAAAAAGCATTTGACTCAGTAGACTGGGCATATTTTTTCCCACTCCTGGCTAAGTTTGGCTTTGGTTCCACGTTCATTTCGTTGGTGAAGCTTTTATATTGGGAGCCTAAAGCTTGCATTAGGATTAATGGACTCATCAGAAGCTTTTCAAAGCCATAGGGGAATCAGACAGGGTTGCCCCTTATCACCTCTCTTATTTACACTGGCCATTGAACCATTGGCTGCAAAGTTGAGAGAGGATGTAGGAGTCCAGGGTCTAAGGGTAGGAGGGCTGGAGGAGTGTGTATCAGAAACAGGAAAGCAGCCTTGAAGAACTAGGGAGTGGGTTTTTTTGAGGAGGAAAGAGCAGAAATTACTAGTAGTATGAGTGTGGAGTAGTGGCCTTTGGTTTTAGCAGAAACCTGATTGATTTACAGAAATGCAGAAATGCCCCCCTATAGCAGAAAGCACAAGGTTTAGAGGTGTATATGTAAAACATTACCAGAAGTTTTCATCCTACATTTATTCTGCATAAAGGGTGGTTGACATTTAACCTAGAGAGAACATAGCCATTCATAAGTGTGAATCATTATAATACAGCATTGTGTGACAGCACCGAGTAGCTAAGCATGCGGTTTTGTATTCTCTCCCTAGATAAAAGAACCTATAATCCTGACAAAGAAGTCCAACACGACCTACAACATAGTGGGGACTACCTACACACTGAACATCAAGGAACCGGCCTTGGCCACAATTGCGAAGAACGCTGCTCTCCCACCTCCTCCTCTGTCTCCACCCCACGCTGAGCTAAAGTCATCGGACGGCAAAAAGACTTACAACAGCGTAAGCCGCATTGACAAGATCTCACGCATTGTCTTCCCTGTCTTGTTTGCAATCTTTAATCTGGTGTACTGGGCAACCTATGTCAACCGAGAATCAGCAATCAAGGGAATGATTCCAAAATAATTACAAAAATAATTCCTTTTTGACTCTTAAATTGTGTGGGACATGTTACCTGTTTCTTCTCAAGGTATCACCTACTGTTATTTTTTTTTTAAAGATGTCTAAAGGTTCCAACAAATGTAGGAGAACATTCACTTGATGAATCAATTGATGGTCAGGTTTGGGAACGTTCAAAATTTTGTAGGTCCTCCTGGACTATGGCAAACATCCCTTGCCTGAGCCTTTTTCCAGAGATAGGCAGTTGCCAGGGATGGCTACAGAGTGTTCCCCCTTCCTTCTCCATAGGCGCATACTCGCACATTTGATGTGAACATGCATGCTTGTACAGCGATCTGTGGTCGGGTCCTGCATGCACAGCCGGCGGCCATCTAACGTCTGTAGGCTGCAGGGTTTCTCTCTTTATGCTCACTGTGATATCTGCCCTTAACAGGGTACTTTGCTTATTTGTTTTGAGGGCTTATGACTAGTGATGTTCGAATCCAGAGACTCGCCGATTTGCTGACCTTCGATTTACTCCAATATCTGCATTATAATCTGTCTGGTCTGCATAGAAGCATTCAACTCAAGAATTCTGTCAGTAGTGACTTAAATTTTACAAAATTATCTGAAAATGTTCAAATATTGCATACAAGGTGAATCACAAAATTTGCATTTCACCAGCTCCACAATTTTCATGCCAATCGATTCTCTCATCACTATGTACAACAATAAAGGTGCCCACAGATGTGAAATGATTGTCACCTGATCCAGCCAATCATAGCCAGATGTCTACTGGAGGTTTTGCAGCCTATGCAGACATCTGTAGCCATCTCATTTCAATGGAAATTATCAGCTAAGTTCCCTCTGTCCATAGAGAGAAAATGTGCTCATAATAAAATCATTTTTTTGAGACTCATAGGAAGACAAAGCACAATAAGTCTTTATGTGTGGGATTACAACCAAGCACAAGATGTTTGGACACTATGCACATCAAAAAGGGTCCAGCTCTCTCTAATGATTATACCTCTGTTGGCTCAAGAGCTCAGTTGTCACATAGTGGAAGGTATAACATACTTCTCACAATCATGCCCACAAACCATCTCAAAGAGACCGCCCATAGAGGGGAGAAAACCATGTCCTCCAGTGACTTTCAGAGAAACCTTTACAGTGAGTACAAAACATCCTAATTTGTCCTTGATTTATTCGAGGACACCGCACAGTAATGCTTTATGCATGGGATGCCTGAGAGCAGGGCAGCCAAGTACATCCAACAAGGCAAAGAAGCAGGTCCTTATGGTCCAAGGAGCATATGAGTGATCACAGAGCAGGAACTTATGACCAAAGATAGCTTCCACCTATGCAAGCACATCCACCCCATAAAGCTTAGTATAGGTGTAGAAGGGTGACCAGGTCATAAAAGCAAAGTTGTGGTAAGGAAAGTAGGATCCCAATCTGTTAAGGCATAGGTTTGATTTGTTGACTCATTTTAGAAATAGTTCAGGAAGGTCCACACTGCATTCTAACCTCCAGGACCTCTAGAATGGTTGGGTGCATGGAAGGTGGTGGCACCAGAAACTAACAAAATATGATGAGTCAGCACACCAAGATTATTTAAAAGATAGAAAAGAGAAACATGACCAGAGTGTATTCATCTAGGAATGGTTCAAGTAGGCCATTCCAAACTCATACCTCCAAGGCCTCTGGAATTGACAGGTGCAAGGTAGGCAGTGGGTTATGGTCCCACACTTGCAGATGGCACAGGCTAACCTTAGGCACAGTTCATCTAAGTGGCAGTCCATCTTCACTAGAGCTCCTGAACTTGGAGATGGGCTGGAGACCCCAGTGGTTCCAATTTACTTCTCTGTAATTGTCTCCAGGTTGATGCTCTCAGGTACACCCACTAAGGGGTAGCAGGAACAGGGACAGCTAAAGTGTGGAGAATGCAGTACAACATGGTAGCCAGAAGAGTATTCGGGTCCAGGCATGGGTCTTGGTAGGCAAATGACAGAAGAGTAATCAGGTCTAGGCAGGGGTCTTGGCAGACAAGCAGGATAGTCAGGTCTAGGCAAGGGTCTTGGCAGACAGAATAGTCAGGGTCAGTCTGGGTCAGCAATGATCAGGCAATCCCCCACATAATTAAATTAATTCTTGCATCAAGAGATAGTTTAAGGAAAACGCAGCAACAACCACTTCAAAGGCTAAAGATTACATACACTTTTTGTTAGAGAATACATCTAGTGTCGTTCCAGGGAACTCCTGAAGTCCAGGCAGAGAATCTGCAAGAACCATTGGAAGTACTGGCAGGAGTTCTGTAAGTACCATTGGAACTGCTGGCAGGGATTTTGAAAGTGCCAGCAGTGATTCAGCAAGTCCCACTGAACGTCCTGGCAGGGATTCTACGAGTACAATTGGAAGTCCTGGCAGGGATTCTAGGAGTGCAATTGGAAGTCCTGGCAGGGATTCTACGAGTACAATTGGAAGTCCTTGCAGGGATTCTATGAGTACCATTAAATTACTGGATTCTGGAAGTCTTTGCAGGCCTTGTTGCTGTTTTCTGTGCTCAGAATATTGGAATGCTGGCTCAATGTATCTATCTAAAAATGTTCCCATCAGAATCCAGGACACCTTTGTGTAGGATGGGACCGTACGCACTGAGGAAGTATAGGTATATAACCACTATGGGTAGCATGCCTCTTTCTGATTTTCAGAGTGTCCACATGTCAATCCCTGTGCTGTGTCCTCCAGTGAATGAAGGAAACATTAATGCCATGGATGTCCACCCAGTACATAAACATGCATGCTCAGCCTTAACATTCATTTCGTTGGATCTCTGAATGTGCATAACATATCTATTGGCACCTTTACCTCAATATTTGGAGGCTCAATCATCATATTTGTATCTAGCTTATGACCATAAAGCAAACAAACCTCACTTACAACATCAACACTTAATTCTCCCTTTGCTGGTTGGTATCCCTACAAAACCTTATTTTTATCTGATCTTTACTGTGTTATACTATATGCTGTGATTTTCTGCCAAAACATTGCTATTCACGCCCCTTTCACACAAGTTTTCTATCTATAGTAAGTATAGTCTCTACTTTTTACAAATGCTGCACAAGTCTTTGCTTTTTTCTGACAATGATATAAACATATCCAAACTGCTTTTTATGATGCACAATGAATATGTCTTTTTTGCTATGAAATGTTTACCGACAACACTGTTTTGTGTCTTTGCTGTTTACTGACAATTTAGCTCACAGTATCTTGCTTGTGTTTGTTCTATTGTTATGCTTAGTGCTGTGCTTTTTATATCATAGCAGGACAGTAAATTTGTGCATACAATGAATACGACTTGCTGTTTAGGTGCCTGAGTATTACACATTATATAGCCAAAAAATTTTGGACATCTGAAATTTACACCTTCCTTTGTGGCCAAAAGTATGAGGACACCTCTCCTAAATAAGGCATTCATGCATTTCCAGTGAAGGGTGCTGCTAATGATATGGCATACAGTTGCAAGAAAAAGTATGTGAACCCCTTGGGATTACGTGGAGTTTTGCATGAATTGGGCATAAAATGTGCTCTGAACATCATCTAAGTCACAACAATAGAAGAACACAGTCTGCTGAACATAATACTACACAAACATTAGATGTTGCCATGGTTTAATTGCACATAACATGTAAACATTCACAGTGCAGGGAGGAAAAAGTATGTGAACCTTTGGACTTAATAACTGGTTGACCCTCCTTTGGCAGCAATAACCTCAACCAAACGTTTCCTGTAGTTGCAGATCAGACCTGCACAACGATCTGGAGTCATTTTGGACCACTCCTCTTCACAAAACTGTTTCAGTGTAGCAATATTCTTGGGATGTCTGGTGTGAATCGCTCTCTTAAGGCCATGCCACAGCATTTCAATCGGGTCGAGGTCAGGACTCTGACTGGGCCACTCCAGAAGGCGTCTTCTGTGCTGTTGCAGCCATTGTTTTGTTGAATTACTCGTATGCTTTGGGTCATTGTCCTGTTGCATCACCCATCCTCTGCAGAGCTTCAGTTGGCGGACAGATGATCATACGTTTTCCTGCAAAATGTCTTGATAAACTCTGGAATTCATTTTCCCATCAATGACAACAATCCGTCCAGGCCCTGAGGCAGCAAAGCAGCCCCAAACCATGATGCTCCCTCCGCCATGTTTCACAGTGGGGATGAGGTTTTGATGTTGGTGTGCTGTGCCATTTTTTTCTCCACACATAGTGTTGTGTGTTCTTCCCAAACAACTCAATCTTGGTTTCATCTGTCCACAGTATATTTTGCCAGTAGTGCTGTGGAACATCCAGGTGCTCTTTTGCAAACTTCAAACGTGCTGCAATATTCTTTTTGGACAGCAATGGCTTCCTCCGTGGTGTCCTCCCATGTACTCCATTCTTGTTTCATGTTTTCCTTATTGTAGATGTGTCAACAAAAATGTTAGCATGTGCCAGAGATTTCTGTAGGTCTTTAGCTGACACTCTGGGATTCTTCTTTACCTCATGCAGCATTCTGCGCTGTGCTCTTGCAGTCATTTTTACAGGACGACCACGCCTAGGGAGAGTAGCAACAGTGCTAAACTTTCTCCATTTGTAGACAGTCTGTCTTACTGTGGACACATGAACATCAAGGCTTTTGGAGATACTTTTGTAACCCTTTCCAGCTTCATGCAAGTCAACAATTCTTGATCGTAGGTCTTCTGAGAGCTCTTTTCTGCGAGGCATGGTTCTCATCAGACAGTGCTTCTTGAAACCAGTAAACCCAAAACAGGTGTGTGTTTTTTAAGGGCAGGACAGCTGTCAGTAACACATCCAATATCATCACACTGATTGGAGTCAAGGTTGGCTCACTCCTGGCTCCAATTAGCTCTGGGAGAAGTCATTAAGCTAGGGCCTCACATACGTTTTCCTCCCTGCACTGTGAATGTTTACATGTTATGTGCACTTAAACCATGGCAACATCTAATGTTTGTGTAGTATTATGTTCAGCAGA